GCAAGATGTGTCCAAGCCTTCTTGGGATAAGCACTGTAAAGCTGAACTTTTCCATGAACCCCTGAAAATAGAAGTCTCAGCATATGAACAAGAAAATCTTTCAGATGAATTAAGGACATAGAAGAAGAATACATTCCTGAGATTAACATGTAGAAATGTATGCTAGAATTCTCTATATATGATGGTGTTCATTTTATCAGAAAAGAAACTTAAGTGTGTTTTAGATACAGAAATCAAAGCTAAGTCACACATAATCATTTAAAAGTAGAGAAATAGACCACTCCAAAGTTGATAAAGAATAAGGCTAGATTTAGACCTGTTGTTTATAGGGTGGTAATGAGTCATAGTCTACTTGATGGCACCTAACAAAAATGGTGGTATTATAATTATGAGGTAGTGAGTTAGTTAACACATTTGAGTGCTGCATAAAAAGTTATATGTTCAGTTCCACCCAGGGGAGACTCAGAAAACATGCTAGGTTATGCTGTTGTTATTATGGGCCATCAAGTCGCCTACGACTCTCAGTGGTGAGAATCTTTGTCAAAGGCAACATAATTTAAGAAAATTATACTGACTTCATTATTTATAGTAAATATTTTAATTTTTATTTTAAAATTAAAAGGTTAAGAAATGAAAGCTTCTGTTAGGTCCTATCAAGCCATACTTACTATAACTCTATGTACAGCAGAACAAAACACTCTCTAGTCCTACGTCATTGTCACAATAATCACTGTCTTTGGGCTCATTATTGCAATTATTGTGTCAGCCCATCTCACTTGGTCTTCCTCTTTTTCCCTGACCTTCACCTTGACCAAGCATGATATCCTTATCCAGGGACTGGTCCCTTTTGACAATGTGTGCAAAGAATATTCTCTCCACCCTCATTTCCTCACAAAGGATTAGTCTTTGTGTTCTTTCAAAACAGAGTTCTTCAACCTTCTGTCATTCTGTGGTATATTCAACAAGCAACCTCAGGATCAACAGTTGCCCAGTATATAACGTCATGATGAAATATTGAAATTGTTATAGATTTCATTTTCCTTATATCCACAATAAAGGCATACGGAAGCAGCAGTCAAAAAAATCAAATGATATATTGTATAGGACAAAAAACCCCAAAATACAAAACCCAAAATCCTCTTTAGAGTGTTAAAAAGCAAATATGGCATCTTGAGAATCAAGGCATGCTTGACCAGAGACAAGCTATTCAATCCCCTCATACACATATCAAAACTGGAAAATAAATAAGGAGAGCCAAACAAAAAAAATGGATGCATTTGAATTACAGTGATGAAGAATATTGAATATGTATAAACTAAAGTCTTTCATTACTATTTTTGTTCCTGTATTTACTCATATTTCTGAGATACTCTGCTTTACATATTTTTATATAACATTAAAATCAACAAACAAAACCTCATTGTTGCTGAGCTGCAACCAACTCACTGCTGACCCTCCAGCAGGATTTCAAAGGCTGTGAAATACACAAGAAGAGTCTGTCCATTTTGCCACCACAGAAATGCCAGTGGACTGTACTGCCAGAGAAGTGCTATCTTCATTGTAACAGCTCAACGCCCTACCAACTCAAGTTTCCTGTGAGAGTCGCACTGGTGAGTGCATTTTTAAACATCTAAAGTGCATTTGTTTGACAAGTTTCATAGATGTATTATTATTTTTATTTTTGTTAGTATTTTGAGGATCCTACCTACAATTAATGGATTCATTTCTATTCAATATTAAATGTTATACTTGTTCTTTATTTATACATTTTTCTTTAGTAAAATAGAATGTATGATTCTTAACCCTTTTTGTCAACATAGACATTTGTTTCTATAATTGGCAGGCTCATCTTTTTCTAGATTATTTTTATAGGCTACATTTTTTTTCACCTCAGAATATCCTGTTCTAACTTCATATTGAACCTTTTTGCTTAAAATAAACACCCAGATTTGGTTCATAGTAAATAACTATTACTACAAAGTTACTCCTGGAATAAATTCTATTCTTCCCTGTTTGCTATGTTCTATTAAAATAAATTATTTTTGTCC